TGATCCACACTATTGAATGCTTTTGTATAGTCAATAAAACACAAGTAAACATCTTTCTGGTATTCTTTGCTTTCAGCCAAGATCCATTGGACATCAGCAATTATATCCCTCATTCCATGTCCTCTTCTGAATCCAGCTTGCACCTCTGGAAGTTTGCTGTCAGTATACTACTGCAACCATTTTTGGATTATCTTCAGTAAGATTTTACTTGCACACAATATTAATGATATTGTTTGATAATTTCCACATTCTGTGGGATTACCTTTCTTTGGAATGGGTACAAATGTGAATCTTTTCCAGTCAGTTGGCCAGGTAGCTGTCTTCCAAATTTCTTGGCATAGACAAGTGAGTGCTTCCAGGGCAGCATCCATTTGCTGAAACATCTCAATGGGTATTCTGTCAATTCCTAGAGCCTTGTTCTTTTGTGCAGCTTTGACTTCTTCATTCAATACCATTGGTTGTTGATCATATGCCACCTCCTGAAATGGATGAACATTGACCAATTATTTTTGGAACAGTGACTCTGTGGATTCCTTCCATCTTCTTTTGATGTTTCCTGTATCATTCAATATTTTGCCCATAGAATCTTTCAATATTGCAACTCGTGGTTCAATTTTTTTCTTCAATTCTTTTAGCTTGAGAAATGCCTAGTGTGTTCTTACCTTTTGGCTTTCCAATGCCATGTTTTTGCACATTTCATTATAATAATTGATTTTGTCTTTTTGGGCTGCTCTTTGAAATCTTCTGTTCAGCTCTTTTATCTTGTCATTTCTTCCATTTGTTTTAGCTACTCTTTGTTCAGGGGCAAGTTTCAGAGTATCTTCTGACATCCGTTTTATGTATTCTTCCTTCACTATCCTTTTAATGACCTGTTGGTTTCTTCATGGATGATGTTATTGATGTCATCCCACAATTCCTCTATTTTTTGGTCATTGGTGTTCAATGCATCAAATTTATTCTTTAGATGGTCTCCAAATTAAGGAGGGATATAATTAATGTCATATTTTGGCTCTCATGGACTTATTTTAATTGTCTTCAGCTTCAGCTTGAACTTGTATACGAGCAATTGATGGTCTGTTCCACAGTCATTTCCTGGTGTTATTTTGTCTGAATATACTGAGCTTCTCCATCACCTCTTTCCACTGATGTAATTGATCTGATTTCTGTGTATTCCTTCTGGAAAAGTCCACTTGTACAGCCATTTTTTTGTGTTGTTGATAAAAGGTATTTGCAATGAACAAGTTGCTGGTTTTACAAAATTTTACAGTTTAAGAGGTTAAAAGTCTGAGTTCAAAGTCCCAGCTCTAGAGGGTGGGTGAAGTCCCCTTGACCTGGGGCTTCATCTCTCCTCTTGCATCTAGCCCAGTGGAGCTGATGGCATTTCTTAAGTCAGGTAGCTGCTGGCTGCTGATACTGACAAACCCAAGGTGGAAAAATGAAATGCACAGTCCCAAGATTATTAAGGAACATGGCAGACCACTAGTCCAAATCTAGAAACAGTCCCAAGATCAGAAGACAACATGGCAGGCCACTAAGATGAAGAATCAGCCAAATGCAAGATCCAGATGTGCCCAAAAGCTGAAGACCTTTCTCAATGCATCTTCTTATATACAGGGAACACACTACATCGCTAAGACAGCTACTCAGCTACTCACGGTAGATTCCACCATGGAGTTGATTACCAGTGTCATCGTGGAGAATAACTACATCCAGATACCCAGCCACTCAAAACTAGGCCCAGCCAAGTTGACACATAACCTTAACTATGACAGATGCATAAACTTGAATAAGAGTCATATCAATGGGTCTTCATTATAGGCATATGGATGTTATCCTATCATTGACAGCACTGCACTTCAGGGTAGATCTTGAAATGTTCATTTTGGAATTCACCTTTCCAATTATTAATGGGTGTTTGCTGCATTTCTTCTCATTTTAAGTCATGCTACATCAGCAGATGAAGATCCTGAATGCTGTACTCTGTCTGCATCATTGAGGTTGACTCAAATTTGAGGAGGCACCTCTTTCCCAGTCATATTTTGAGTGCCATCCAATCTGTGGGGTACATCACATGGCACTATATTGGACAGGATTTCACTACTATTCATAAGGTTTTCAGTTGTCAATTTTTTTCAGAGGAAGACTGCCACATCCTTCTTCCTAGTGACTTTTAGTGCAGAAATTATGCTGCTGCCTGACCCTGCTGACATTTGAAATACCAGTGTCATAGCTACCAGCATCACAGCAATATGCAGCCACCATAGTGTGACAAACTGACATACACATGGTGTATCACAATGATGTACTTGATGAAAACTATGAAACTAAAGAAGCATTGGTAATTATTATTATACCTCTAGCACAAGCAAGGTGAGCTTTGGTAGCATAGTGCCTAAGGCACTTGACTACTAACCAGAAGGCTGGCGATTCAAACCCACCAGCCACTCCTTGGAAGGAAGATGGGACAATCTACTTCCATAGTGATACTGCCTCAGAAACCCAAGGAGGGGTTGCTATGAGTTGGGTCTGACTCGATGCCATATAACAACAGCAACAACAGCACAAGCAAAAGCTATAGCATATTTAAAAAAAAAAAAAAGAAAGAAGGACGTGAAATATAAGAATACATCTCTTAATCTCAAGAAATTGAGTCTAAGTACAATAGTGATGAACATTACATAACTAAGCACAATTTTATTTCTGCTTCAATGTTACATTTAGTATTGTACAGCACACTCAGAGCTCCAGTGCTTATTTCAACTTCAACATAGTGAGATGTCTTGGACAGAGCCCTGACAAAGCTTGTCCTAATTTAGGCCATGCAGGAGGCATAGGGCTCTATTAATATTCTTGCTTGGTAAAAATTATTTTCATGAACGTCAATGAAGGTGGTGGAGAAGTATGACTTAGTCATATGCTCAAGTAGGCACAGATAACAGTACAGTTGTGCATCACTTCATGAAAGTGGATATTAGGTGGTGCTTATGGATGAGGTTATTTTCATCACATAGTATCACTGGCTGTTCAACAGAATGCTGCACTGGCATACTTCATTAAAGATGACACAGTCAAACTCAGATTGCATTACAAACGACAAATATTACTCTCAAGAAAGGAATGAATTAGGCACACAGAGTTTAGTACTTACCTGTGTGCTCTAGAGTAAGGATCATAATGTGCATTCGAGGCTGAAGTTATGCAAATCAAATGGATACAATCACAAGGAAAAACTGAAAAAAAGAAAACCTAAAATTTGATTCAGTTCCAATCTGAAGTGAAGGATAAATCATCACATTGATCAGTTGAACCAGTTAGTGATGAAATTAACTTTTCCTAGCAAATAAAATGGGTACTCAATTGATAAATGAAGTTTAATTTCTTCATAATATTTATATTTATAAATAAATTATATTTTCCATTTTGAAATATACATATATAACATATCAAGTACAATGTATTTGAGGATTGTGAAAATCATGCTCTCTTCACTTAATTGTCTGCTGGATTCCTTGTTTCTTTGATTTATGAGAAAAAATGAGAAAGAGACTGAGAGAGCACTAAACATGAGGTGGGAAAGAATTTATAAAAGACACCAAACAGCAAGAGATAATATAAAGATGGGTCAGCAAGCATTTACTTCTCCCCAAGATACTCACTTCAAAAGTAAAATACAGATCAATTCCTGGTTTAGCCTTGGTTACAAGGCAGACTTCTCCAGCTTATTGCTGACATGCTAGTATTAAAAGACACTTTGCATTCATTTCTCCTCTCTGTTTTCTATGTTCCACAATGCTCTATTAAGCTATTAAAGGCATATCTCATTTTATCACACTGCTCTATTGTGCTTCACAGATACTGTTTTTTACAAATTGAAGTTTTGTGGCAACTTTGCCTCGAGCAAGTCTATCAGTGGCATTTTTTCCAACAGCATGTATTCACTTTGTGTCTCTGTGTCACATTTTGGCAATTCTCACAATATTTCAAACTTTTTCATACAGCTATTGCACATTTAATAAACTGCAATATAGTGTAATTCCCTGAAAATTTGTGTGACTCACTTTATTGCAATATTGACTTTATTGTAATAGTTCGGAACCAAACCTGCAATATCTCTGAGGTATGCCTGTATACAGTTGGTGCTCTGGAGTACTTCGTCATGAACAATTTGCATTTTGTGACGGACGGGGTGTGTGATTGATTAGCTGAGCAGATACCATTATGAAAAAGAAAAATAAAGAGAAAGAAGGGGAAGAAAGACAGTAAAGAGGGGGCAAGGAAAGAAAAGGAAAAGAAGAAATGAGGGAGGAGGAAGTGAATGAAAAAAAAGAAGGGGGAGCCTTTTCCAGCTATGATGACCCATCCTCCTATGCGAACATGCCATTTGCAAACGATCTCCTTCAATCCCCTTCAGAAGAGAAGAAGCACCTAGGGCAGAGACCTACTTCTTACTTCATGGATGTGAAACGCCCAGCATACTTTAAACTCACCACCATCTTTAGCCATGCACAAACAGTAGTTTTGTGTCTTGGCTGCTCCACCATCCTCTGCCAGCCTTCAGGAGGAAAGGTCTGAAGGCTGGTCCTTTAGATGACAGTAGCACTAAAGCACCCTGAATCAAGGTGAGTGGGAAACCGTCCACCATCCTAACAAACACATTTTGGATACAAAAAAAAAAAAAAAGGGAAAGAGGAAAGAGAAGGAACAGTGAGAGAGACTGGGAGAGGGAGAAGGATGCAGGGAGAGACAAAGAGATTAACCAAAAGTAACCAGTTAGGAGGCTGAGTAACAATGTTCCAGGGCTGCAAAGTAGGGAGTTACTTCCGAATCAGAAAAAGACCCAAAGGTTGCCTAAATACTCTGGGTTTTTGTTTTGTTTTCCCCCTCTAACCAAATATTTTCTTCTCTTCCCCTTTCCTATTAGAGAGAGTTTCCATAGTATTAGTTCAAAACTGCTTCTGAAACATAAGATTGGCAAAGATCGATACAGTTTAGTAAATCATATTTTGAGACACTGAATTGCACATGTTCTCTCTGTATTAAAGTAGGTTATCTTCTTCAGAAAGAGATGAGGCTGAAGGCTTGGGAGGAGATAAGAAACACTCATGCACCGCAGCGTTTAAACAAATCAATGGACCACTCTGTCTTGAAAGCCACCAAACAAACTATTGATACCCAGCAGGCCCATTACTTAAAGCAGCTCCAGGCAGCTACTGTGCCAGCCATTTATTTCCATTCCCTGATACCTTTGGAGCATCATTAGCAAAAGGGAAGCATTAAGACCACAAGTGGAATGGATTCACATCTGTCTAGGTAACTGTGAGAACTAATCTGTTAGGAACAGTAGAGAGCTGCTTAGAATTTCACTTCTGATGATGGTATTACCCTTGTCAGATTGACTGTAAACATCATGGCCAAAGGGGTGGCTTCAGCTTTGTCTGTCTCCATGCAAAAACTTATTTTTCTCTAAAGAGAACTAGTAGGCACTGACTTTGCATTTCAAATTCAGCCCATGCCTTTCCAAATTATTTATTCTTTTCCTCATGAAAAATGAGATGCCTCCTAAAACAAACCTTAGAAGACTGACCAAAAAGTGACAGATAAAAGAATGTCTTAATGCCTTCTCATACACATACTTAAATGTACTTTAAAAAATTATTATTATTATTATTATTCGCCAAAAGATAAATGTTTTTGGTAAATAATCAAACAAGGTCTCTATTTTCCTCTTTGCTTTCAAAGAGTGTTGTCAAGCTTGGTAAATTTTTTAGCAGCTGTCAGAGTAAATTTATTACCAGAGATGTCTACATTCTTATGCAATCCAGAAGGGAAAGTCCGGGTGATAGGTTTTATTTCAGCTTTTTGAAGACCAAATGTCTAGCATGATTAGGATGCAAAAATAGAGTTGGCAATATGAAATCTCCAACTGTTATCTATTATGTGGTAATGAATAAAAGCAGATTGTCCTAAATTGTACCACTTGCAACTTCCCTTCAGCCACATAACCAAGAACTATAGACAGAGATGAACTAGCTTGTCTGGAATTACAGACACATGCACTGAATTTATTTTAGAGAAAAAAAGGACAATAGTTAGGCACCTGGCATAGTGTGTAATTTAAAAGCTGAATCAAAAAGAGAGAAAGAGTGCACAGTTACTAAAGTTTAATGGGGGGCGGGGAGGGAGACAGATAAAACAGAGAAAAAATATGTTCATTATTTGCATGGTAAATATTAATATTTGTTTTGTTTGGAGTATGTGGAGTTCTCCCCTGTTTGTACTGAGATTGATGGTTTATGGGATTACGGCATAATCGTAACATAGATGAAAGATTGTAGAGTGGATGAAGGATTATACAGTAAACTTTCCATATCCCAAATGACTTGGGAAAAATAATTTTATGCATCAAGAACTATATATAACATGGGACACAGACATACAAAGTCAATTATAGATAGCCATTAAGGGCCTGTGCCTAACTGCTACAAAGGTATATCACAAGTATATAAAGTATCCATGAAAATATCCAATCTGAATGGGTTAAAAATGATACAGATTTGTTGGATACAAATATTGGCAACAAAACTCATGGTGTAACTGGATCTCTCTGGACATGTATTTCATTTGTATGCCTTAGTTTACTCACATTTATGAAGGGAATAACAATGATACAAACTAGAAAAACTTACTGCAAGGATTAAATTAATTCATATAAGTAAATTATTAGAATGGCAGCTGGTGCTTAGTATGATCTCAGTAAATGATATGATCAAGAATTGGAATGCTGTTACAGAAATCATTTCTGCAACTTGAAGAAGTTCCAGTGAAACTGAGTTTTAAACTATGATTCTTTTCCTGGATTTCAAATCTGAAAGCTTGTCTAATCCTATCTATGATATTTGATTAAGAGTCTTGGCCTATTAAACAGAGTCCAGACAGGAAGATAGAAACTACCTCAGGCATTTCAACAGATAATTAAATGATAATTTAATTGGTTAGACAATTGTTAGAGAAATAAAAAGTAAAACAGAAACACCACGATAATAAAAATAGTAACTGTAGGAGGTAACTAAAGCCTCCTCCACCCTCACTTCCATCTTGTTAGGGAATGCAACAGGAAGAGGCCAGGATTCTCAGGACTGTCAGAATTGTGATGTTGTTGTTGTTGTTATGTGCTGTCGAGTCAGATCCAACTCAGAGCGACCCCTCCTTGGGTTTCCGAGGCGCTATCAGTATGGAAATAGACTGCCCAACCTTTCTTCCAAGGAGTGGCTGGTGGGTTTGAACCGCCAACCTCCTGGTTAGCTAGCAGTCAGGTGCTTTAGGCACTATTGTACCAAAGCTCCCCAGAATTGTGATGCTCGGAGAAAAATCCATATAAAATTTAGAACCATAAGTAGCTTTATGTAACTGGGATTTGGGCCTCTGAGATGTTGGCACCATCCAGCTGGCATTGTGACATATTAGGGGACACAATAAGACTGATTCTAGGCATGCCAAAATACAAACTAGGACAATTTTCTGTTGGTTAGGTGATAGGCATAACCAAGAAGATGCTGGTAGAAACAGGAAGCAATGAGGAAGGAGAAAGCCCCTTCTTCCTCTTCTAGCCTTTGTTCTCTCTCTGTTGATCCTCTACTGGTAGAAGCTAACAGGCAGCCATTTGGCAAAGGAGAAATAAAGTTTGTCTCATTCCAGCACTAGTATCCCATCACCGAGAAAGTAGGGAAGGGTGGGTATGGAGCTGAGAGACCTTAGTTTCTAGATATAACCTCCATACCCACACAATAATGTTGTATAGGTAAGTCATAAACTCACTAGGCTTACCTTCCTCATCTGCTCTATAGGACTGATAATATTCAATCCACTTCATTCATATTAGTTTTGGGAGGATCAAAATATATCTTCACATATGTAAAGAATATTTTATAAATGAGCAGTGTTCATCAAATGTAACTTTTTGGCCATGATTTAACAAGTTCAAGATCATGAATAAAATTAAAAAATAAATATTTCCTTCTATGATTGCCCTTCCTTTGAGTTAGACATGAATATTTTTATACAATGTTCTTAGCTAGGACTTAGAATAGGTGAACTGAACTTAAAAGAGGGCACACGGCTATGGAAGAAGTGTTATGGAGGGAGATTAGGGAGCGAGGGCTGGAAAAGAGGAGTATGAAGGATGAGAGGGGTGTTTGGAAAACGAAGACTGTGACTTTCTCCCTATCTCAAATAAGTTACGGAAACTCAGGAAAAGACAAAGAAAAAAGCTAAGACTGAGGCAGGCTTGGAACCTGATGCAAGGAAGATCTTTGTGAAAAGTTTCTTTCCAGCAGGAAGAGAAAGAGACAAATCAGAAGAAGCCGTTGGCTTGAAAGAGAACAATAAACTCATGACTCTTTCCTCTCTTGTGTCCATCCTTCCCACAGCAGCCAGGTCATTCCATGTCACATCTGCCACGTCACATACTGTCAGTGGAACTCTGCATGTATTAAATCCTCCGTATCCTTTTCTCTATCTTCCTTTTCAGTTTCATCCCTATTACTGGCCATCTTGCATTTTAGGCTTTTTAATACTCATGTGCTTTGCTTCCTGATGCAGACCATATTGTTTCTGGGGTCACATAATTCCTTCTGCTTAGAATGCCATCTTCCCTCTTTTGGGGTTGGTTGTCTACCTTGTCTTCACATTGCAAGCCTCTGTTTTTATTTTTCCTGAAGACTTCTCTAAACCTACCTGCTGAGCGAGGCATTCCTCCTTGACATTGCCATCATATCATATACATATTTCAATAATTCCTTTATAGCATTTCATTATAATTTATTTTTATGAATGTCCCTCTTCAGTAGAAATAGACCATCAAAAGTAAAACTTTTTTTTTTTTTTACTTCTATACTCCCAGCCAAATAGTACAGTGTATGATGCACAGTGAACACTGATCAAATACTTGTTAAAAGAGCAGACAGATGACAACCTTTTAGTATTCTCAGTCAAGTTTCTAGAATGGGTAGATGTCAGAAGATACTGAGTCCTGTTGAAGTTTAAAACAAAACAAAACAAAGTGAAAAATAATACATATCCCAAAAGAGACCAAGAATAAGTTGGGAAGCACACTTCTGCCAGAAGTTTCTGCTTTACTGTTAGTAATCATTAAGGAAAGAAAAGGTCTTGGGAGTTAATTCATACATTTATGCACTACTA